TTCAAAGCACATTTCTACCTGTTCAGTTTTTAACCCTTTCAGGGACCGCAGTTTCTAGAGCGGAAAGCTTCTCATGGTATCAGGTTACAGGGTGCATGGAAGGGTTCAGTAGTTTTTGCAAATCTTGCTGTTCTCTAACAAGGAGCTGAATGGCTAAATGTACAAAAGGTCTTTGACACATGAATGGACTGATACCTTTTTCTGGCTGAAATGAATCATGCGGTTCACAGTTTGACATTATGAGACCAAGATGACCTCTAAGAATTGTTGAACAGAACCTCGCCATTGCGAGGCTTCAAACAGGATGTTCTTAGAAGGAAGTGGCTGCTGATCTTAGGGCATCACATAATGTCATGGCAGCTTGCAAAAAAAAAAAAAATAATAATAATAATAATGCAACGAGACTGGAAGAGTCCAGAAAGGAAAAACACTTGTGAATTTTACCATTAGAGAGTTGTGCAAAAAGATTCGTTACAGTTGACCACGTGCATTCATAAGTTTAGAGAAGGTCAAATTAAGCTTTTCTGGAAAGATTATAGTTCATGTTACGCTCATCTTGATAGTTCACCTATAAGCCAACTTAGCCTAACTTTTTGCACATAGCGTTTATTGATTATATCGTAGTGTCAGATAATGATTTTGGATACTTACACCGACTTGTTCCAGGAGGCCCATGAGGCGTGATGGAGGCACCACACTGACCTCGCTCACCAGCTCCTCTGCGATGGCCCGACGTCGCTTTTCCTTGCTGCTGCCTTTTGGGTACGCCTGCAGTGGAAGGTTGACCATGGTGTCATTTTATCAAACAATTTTGACCTGTTTCATTGCAAGAATCTTGATTCGGTCTCACCTCACGTGGGTCAAAGTAGGACAGTGTGAGCAGGTGTTCCAGGTGGGTGTACCTCTCGGGCTGAGTTTGCTTCAACATAATCATCGGATCGGTTTGTCTGAGGAGTGAACGGGCAGCGCCCACCTCCCTCATTTCAATCAGCTCCATTACCACCTGTTGGAGTGATTTTTGGAGGAAATTATACAACATCATCACTACACACTCTTAAGCTAGCAGTTTTAAAAGTAACCGAGCCAATGTTGGGCTGTTTTTACCCAACGCGTTGGGTTGAGGATTTGACCCAGCACGTTGGGTCAAAATTTTGACTCAACAAGAGTAAAAACTGTTGTTACCAATGAGTTAAAGTTTCAAACAAATGAGCTACCAGGTCATCAGTATAGCTGTGGATAATACTACTACGAATAATTTTACTACCAACATTTTCAAAGAAGTTACAGCAGCCCCAGAAAGTAACTCACATGATATTCTTACACCAAATCCCCTGCCTGCCTGTTTTTAAATCCAGGACTGAGACCTAGGTACTTAATTGGAGACTACTGAAGATGGATTGATTCAACCGCATATTAATTATTGTCGAAAAGGTTAATTTGCCATGCTGTAGAACTGCTCTGCATCCTATTGCGAGCTGTCTAACATGTTGGGACTATTACTGATGCCAAACAGTTCTCAACAGCAAACACCACAATCATTGAAACATATCATTAAGTGAATAAATCTTGGATAATATAAATTAAAACCAAACATGAACACATCCATTGCATTTATGTAACACTGCAATTTAGCACCGTAAACCTTATATTTCGACATGATATCAATGAGTTACAGAGTGAAAGATTGTGGTTCAATTCTTATTTTTGACCCACTATCTGTATCACAAAAGGCTAAGGAAAAGCCCAAGTCACCTGTTCATAAAGGTCAATAAGTGTGTTGTCGGGCAATTTGAGAGATTCAATTGCGAGCAAGACCGAGTCCCAGTGGCCTTGTTGGATGTCTGCGATGAAGCTGTCGATGCTCTCCACAGTGTTGAGCGAGACAGTTGTTTCTTCCTGTAACGTGGTCAAGGTTCTGTAGAGGTTGTTCTCCTTTAGGTATTGCATTATCAGGCGAATGACACTACAGAGAGAAAGGAAGAGACAAAATCCACTGTTCATGTCGAAACACCAAGTTGACCCCATGGGCCGCGTCGTATTCAGAGTAAGAGTGTGTCATCCAGTAACCCATAGGGCCACTGTTCGAATCTCGCTCTGATCGAGTCATGTCTCATTGTGTCCTTGGGCAAGACTCTTCAACCGCCGCTCACAATGGTATTCGGCGTGAATGTTTGGTGGTGGTCAGAGGGGCCTTTAGGCGTGCACTGGAAGCGACGCTTCCGTCAGCCTGTCCCAGGGCAGCTTAACCAGTTGACCACCAGCAGAGTGTGAATGTGCGAGTGCATGAATGAAGTCACCAATGGGTGCGCTTTGAGTGTTCAGTGTCTGGTACATTATCATTATTGTGATTATTATATAGTCTTGATATTTGCATGCTCTTCTGTTGTACTCTGTGCTTGTTATGTTCATGTTCATTAAGATATTATGTTCACAATAAAATTATATTCAATACATGTGCTGATTCAAATATTCTCCTTTTAAAAAGATAATGTTGTCCATTATTAATGTTAGTAATTTAACAATATGTTCATTATTTTGGTTTCAGGTTTCACTGATGTAAAAGAAAAAATCTAAAACAAAACAGAAAACATTAGAACACCACCGATCAGGTCCCGCTGCATCCATCCACAACAATAAGCACATTGCTAATATAGTATCAAATGTCTCCATCATAGCTGAACATTTTTATCTTTACATGTCAAGGCAGAATATATTGAATACAGAGCTTGTTTTGGATGTGCACGTGGTCATGATGTTGTGGCGAGGAGTGCACAACCAGCACAGAAATGTATACTGATGCTGCTACTATGACTACTAACAAAAACAACAAGTGCAACAACAACAATAATAATAATAATAATAATAATAATAATAAATACATTTTACATTTTAAATGGAAGAGCAATATAGATTGTATATCGAGACTTGTACCCCCTGTGCATTCTTACACGTGGATCACGTGTTGCCAGCTAGTGATGCTGATGTTCTTCTCTCTGAAGCCAACTGTGCTCATTAAACCGCGTTAACCCCTCGTAAGAAAATCCGCTAGAGCACTTTTCCCCAAAGGAAGCAAATGAAATGTAATTATGGCCCATCAAAGGCATATCTAAAGAGGCTGGTGCTTTCGTTCCACAGGCACATGCATGCAAAACAGCATACAATCAGTATGACTTCCTTGCAGTAAAATCATTCACCACATATAATTAATGAACCAAATGAGTCTGGTATTCATGAATCAAGAAAATACGTGGCTGCAGCTCAAAGTGAACATCAACATATTGCTAATAACACTTCTGAATAATGCATTAAAAATGTAAATGTGTAACTAATTAAGTGGCTTCATTTAGCAATGAAGTATGAGTTCAAAATTGTTCTTACTCTGAGGGCTCCATCTCCACAGCCATGCTGACGTTGTCTCCTGCAGATGCGGCAACAGACTGAAGTCCGTGGCGACTGTGTGCTCGTCAAAGCCACGTGCAGCTTGTCCACCGAGGCCCGCCCACTGCACGTGTTTCTCGTGCGTGCGGTTCGGCTTCCATGCAACAGTCCAAAACCTTGTGACTGAGCCCCCCCCCCCCCAACCCCCCGGGCCCACTATCTCCCCGCATGCTACACAAAAGAGCAAGAAGCTGCACCCCCGCCTTCCCCTCTGACGCATACCGACACATCGAAACATCTTCTGACCGAGCACGTTGCGATGATGCTGCCGCATCAATCAACATACTCCAGCATCAGCACCACGTGGGCACAGCCCACGTGGATCAGAGCGTGCACGGGGGCCAAAACATATATCTTCAGAAGAGAAACGTGATGTTTTAAACATCCAAAATGTATTTTTATTACTAAATCTGCATGGACGTTTGTGCATCTGTATTGTTTATGCACACGGGACACAGTGTACCCGAAGAAAAACAAAAACAAAACAGGCCAGCACACACACACACACACACACACACACAGACACACACACACGCATATATTTATTTTGTTTGCGGCAAAGTTTTATATATATATATATATATATATATATATATATATATATATATATAAACTGCTTTTGAAACAGAAAGGTGGTCTGTTTTTCTCTAGACATATTGGTTGTCACTTAAATCGATGTGGAAATAATTTTTTTCCTAAAATTTTTGAGAATTGTGGCAGTAATGATATTCATCTATCATTTGTAAATAGATGTCTCTCTCCATTTTTCTAAATAGGAATTCATTTTTGTGTTTTCATTTTTCATGCAAAGATACTGTACCAGATTTGAATGACAGGTTACATAATACGTGAGAGGTTGCACTATTTGTTCTGTAATATCTTTTACTAATGTGATGTCATTACTGAAACAATTGGTAACACAGGGTACACAAGGTTACTCAATGTGCTTCGCATAATTAAAAGATTTACGCACAAAATATTGAGATTTAAAAGCAAAGTCAAAGTAAAAAAGTATCTAACTAAAAATGGGTAAAGTGTGGTTGCAGGCATAATTAAAAGATTTATGCACAAAATATTTCGATTTAAAATCAAAGTCGAAGTAAAAAAGTATCTTACTAAAAATGGGTAATGTATGGTTGCAGGCATCATACAGCCTGCTTCTTTTATTAATCCTGCCCACCAAATAGTTACTCCATCGAGAAGTAAGATTTATTACATTAATTTTGTCGTTTTTCTTCAGATTGGCTCACTAAATTATGTTTATTTATTTGAGTACTTGTATTTTTTCGTTTATTTAAGTAATTGGTTAATTGCAAATAAAACAAAGGAAATTAATTTTGTCGTTTTTCTTCAGATTGGTTCACTAAATTGTGTTTATTTGTTGGAGTACTTTTATTTTTTCATTTATTTCATTAAGTAATTGGTTAATTGCAAATAAATACAGTAAAATAAACCAAAAAGGTTTGTGCATCCCTGCTATCAATCGTTTCCTATTGAACCGCATTTACACGTCGACTTTCTGACAAAGCTAAGTGTAACTGAGGTCATGAGAGGTCAGACACAAAATCACAACCGCTATGCGTAAATCTCGCGAGAATTGTTCACTGAGACGCAAGTTAGCGTTAATTGGCCAGTCGCCGAAACGTGACTACCGAAATGTTCCCTTAAATGGTGTTGCGAATACGGTGAGTTCGCGATCTATTTCCGTTTTGTTAAATCTTGAAAACCCAAACGTCCTGTCATGTTCTAATGTTCTTTCTGTGAGTTTAGATCGCCCACATGTCGCTCAACAAGCAGGTGAGCTCAATTTACTACATTAACCCTTCGTATTCCGCACCTTTGGGATTGTCGGAGTCCAAATGGGACATAAGTGGCCGTGTGGCTGTTTTAAATTGTAGTTGAAGCGTTATGTCTTACTCTTGTGCCGTAGACCGCTGCTGCCAGAGTGGCCCAGCTGCCCCTGGTACGATCTGCCTGCACCAGCCTATCAGTGTTGTACGGGGACACCAAAAGGAGAAATGCCAGCCTGAAGTGTGTGTGTGAGGGCCTGGAGAACAGCGTGACCATGTTGGGTTCGGCGGCTTTTCACAGAGTGTCACCTGTCATCACTAAACTACAGCCTCAAGGTGTGTAAATCTTTTAAATAAGTAAAAGGGAAGAAAGTACAAATTGAAGTATATACGTTTCGTACAAAAGTAAAACTATTTGTTACAGACCAAAAAACTTTGCCGCAAACAAAATACTGTAAATTGTTTCCCTCTTTTACAAACGTGCATATTAGTACTTAGAGAAGAAAATATATTTCCACCTTGACTGTAAACCAAATTCAGCCAGGAACATTGTTAAGTGTTCTGGAAAGCACTTTGTTACGGCTGCAACTGTTGTGAAAGCACGATGTAAATACATAAGTATTGTCAGTGTTTTCAGTTGGAAAAGAAATTGGAAATCTATGCAAGTGGTTGATGCTTTCTCACTAACCTCACTGCCCCATGCATCTCCGCAGTTTCCCTTGCCAATGACATTGCATGTAAAAGTCTGGACTGGTTGGAGGAAACGTTCCCCGTGCTGCACACACCCGCAGACCAGGTGACTACATGAACATCACACTTGATCTTACCACTAGCCGGTCAAACATGGGATAAGCTTAATGTTGGTTATGCATTCAGTGCTACATTTTCATTGTGACTGAGTGATTCCGCTGAGGACACCAACAGCACCTTAAGTGATATTGTCCCATGTAACTTACTCCCACCTCTTACGAACGTGTAAAAAAGCAGCTCTCCTGCTTTGATGCTTGTCTCCTAGCTTGTGGCTGGTGTCCGAAGTAAGGTGCTGGAGATTCAGGATGTGGTGAGTATTGCGGCCCATGGAACTGTGGACTGCGCGCAGCACGCAGTCACATGTGTCATGGCGAGGGTGCAGAAGCCGGAAGACCAGTCACTGGTGGGAAAGGCTGTCAGTGTGTCCACCAGGGGACTAGCTTCTGCGCTGAACGTATCTGAGGCACTGGTGGACCGCATGCTACCGCCTACAGAGGAAGAAAAAAGTAGGCGGCCGAGAGGGGGAGGAAGCACATATACTGTATCATGGCTTGTTTCTAAACTAGAAATAACATTTATGCCGAGTTTATAGAAGAAGAGGATGGTTTAGCGGAAGGTTCTGAGGCAGCCACGTTCGAGAGAAAGTACTCGGTGCGACTGGTGACACTTTCCATTACGCTGTGCAGGAGAACCATCCGGCTGGCTGGAGCCAAGATTCACTCTGCTCAGGTCTTTACTCAAGTTGGTCTACTATCAAAAAACATACAGGACTTGATGGAGAGGCATCTTTGGCACAAGTGAATCAAAAATTCTGCCTCAATAAACACTAACACCGTTGTCTGAGGGCTGGTCACAATTTAACAGGATGCTTAGGACAGTATTGCGGATGTAGCAGCGCAGAATAGCACTGCCTGCTACTGAGGGGTTAATTTATTTGTGGGTTTTTGAGAAACTTTCTGCCCATGTTTATGGTGAAACACCCTACATTATTTTATGGGTATCTTTGGATAATACCCACTCAAAATAATCTAGGTTATTTAGGATTTCATCTTTTTGTCAATTTAACATGTTCTTGATCTAAGTAAAAAAAAAAAAAAGATGTACATAACTTGAGTATAGATAATATATTCAGAAACATGTCAGCATGTGGCAGTACAATTCTACACTACTGCCAACTACAAATACATGTTAGTCCCTTTAGTTTGCTTGATTCATTCTCCAAACTGCTGAGCCTCAATTGAACGGTGTTTCTGCCAAGTACATAGGGAGGCATATTGTTCACATTTACTACTTTCTACAAAACTTCAGAAATGCGTGCTTCTTCAGCTGAGGTAACCACCTTACTGTGGCTCCACCAGCACACTACTTTGTTCATTGACATTAAATGCAGCAAATAACTCCAAAAGTGAGTTAAATAACTAAAACCTTTTTGATCTAGCTCTTACACAAGTGCAGTGAATGAATATAAGATTTGTCACCACTGTCCTGTATTTGCAGATCATGGAGGCTTTTTCACCATCTTCAGGTCAGCTTCGCATCCTGCATACCAGCTGGCTGGCCTTGGCATGGAGCCTGGAGCAGCTCCCGCTACATGTACAGCAGCAGATTGTGTCAACCTTCTTCTACTTCACACAAATGTACAACTTAAGAGTCACCCAACAGAGCTGTTCCAAACAGGATACAAGTGTGTGCCTCAGTGGAGTGGCATCAGAGGCAAATCCAACTCTACACAAGGATATCAAGAATATTCCGCAACCAAATTCCAACTGGCGAGCAAGAAGACCCGCCAGTATCTTAGGTTTGAGAGCTGATCAACCCCACTAGGAAAAGGAGTGGGCAGCATTGACGGGTTTCACTGAGTGGTCTGTGTACTAGTACGTGTAAATAAAGGCACTTGAAGATTGAGCTGACTCATTCAAATGTATTCCAGAGCTGCACCAATAAACCATACATTTTAATTTGTACTTATACATAATAATCAGATGCACATAGTTGTATGAAATTAACGGCAAACATTTTCAGGCTTTGATTCAACACTGGTGTGCGCCAGTTTTCGTGGCAGAAGTTGAGAGCAGCCTCACAGGTCCCAAGGCTACTGGACCTGCACCAAGATCCTGGACTATTAAAAAAAATTAAGCCTATCATCAAAACGTTTACTTGTAAGCATTTATTTCCATCAAAAGGTTGGAACTACGAGTTTTACTAGTGAAGTTGTGTTTTGAAAAGGACGAAACAGCTGAATGTAGACCAAACATTATTTTATTTGACTTCGAGTTCACTTTTGACTGGACTCCGACTTGGATGTGGATGCCCTCAGAGAAGAAAGGCGGCGCCTCTTGGCGATCTGTTCCTGGCGCTTCTCTTTGGCTTCCTGGTAAGGTGATGAAAACTCATGTCAGTGGCAAGGTTTCAAAATAATACATTTTATACAAAGTGTCAGAATGTAAAGCACTAAAACAGCTCTTAATCAGAGGACACATAATTCAGCGATAAAAATTAGCCTGGAAATTCTGATTCATCGCAACAGCGGTGAGTCTGGTGGGAGTTGCATCAAAAGTGCATTTCTGAGACAGGGCAAACAAAGTCTGAAGGAACCAATCAGCGAAGAGCCAAGGTGACGTAATAAAAGCAACTCGTGTCGGCAAGACAATTTTTTAAATTGCTTCCAGTTCCATCAGCTGCTGCTGTTGCAATGACTTATGCGTTTCTGCTCATTTAAAACGGAGTCTAATGCTGAATGAAAAAACTAGACTGTCCCAGGCTCCATTTTGAACGATATGAAGATAAGATTTCCACTGCCAAAAGCGGCGTTGCTCTCAAAGGACACGTCACAGCACGTGAACAAATTTGATTGAACGACCAGTTTTGAAACGAGGCTCGGCCTTGGTCTCCAGACCCACTTTCTTAGTGGTTGTGGCTTGCCAGGCTAGATAAAAACATAGCGTGTGCTATTGGCTCTAAAAGGCTATTTAAGCACACAATTCTTACCGGCTGTTTTTGAAATGCAAAAAACAGCTGGAGCGGTTCAGTGAGGTGTCCGTGCTCGAAAACAGCCAGAAATGTTGACTTTGGCATGACTGTCTAATGGGAGCATTGTGCTCAACTAAATGCATGCCTATTTGAACTAAAATGAAATGAAGCATGCCCTCAAGATTACCTTCATCCTCTTAGCCAGCAGCTTGGCGTACTCAGATGCCTCCTCCTTGTTCTTCTGGGTGCGCTTCCTCTTCAGGGAAATGCGGCGGCGTTTGTGCTGCAGCACACGAGGGGTCACCAGTCTCTGGATCCTGGGAGCCTTCGATCTTTGCTTCTTCCCTGAAAACAACGTTGACTGTCACTTAGCATGCATGTTACAGCAATTGAGACTGACAAGCAGGCAGACAGTCCATTTTAGCTAAGCGATATATTGCTGGCGTGGGGCTGAAACCTGCCCATAGCCACATTGGTAAATATCATCAGCCCCCACCCCAAAAACTATAAAATGGTCAGTCATTGTGTTTTTCTTTAACAAATGGTTGAAAATTGCTTATTGGACAATACAGTGTTAATGGGCTCAAGAAACATACCCTTTGATGCTATGATATAGAGAACGTGAAGAATCATGAGCATAGCCAGTCGCTTAAATTATGTCCCTAATTACTAATTGCATTGTGTCACTTTAGATCGGACACTTGACCACCAATACAAATATGTCCCTCTAATTTCAAGTTAATGACTAACAAATTACCAACACCCTAAAAAAATTGCACACTGTATTCATTAGCACTGAATCCCTTTCCAGCAATGTGAACCGATTTGGAAGGAACAGCTCGTCGCATTTAATGATCAAGGCAGGATTTACTACCAACACCTGGAGACTAACCTTCTTTATTCAGGGGTCTCCTCACAACATATTGTCTGACATCATCCTCCTTGGCCAGGTTGAAGAGCTTGCGGATCTTGCTGGCCCTTTTGGGGCCAAGGCGGCGGGGGACAGTGCTGTCGGTCAGCCCAGGGATGTCCTTCTCACCTGAGGCAGGTTGGAAAAAGATATGTCAGTGAATTTTGCTCTTCAATAATAGTGTTCTCTGTGAACAATATAGCAGTCAATGTGAGAGAACTGCAGTTTCAACCAGCCACAGTTTGGTCTGGTCGTATCCGGTGAGTCCTCTACAATTCCTCTGGCAACACACTGTCCCACCTTAATGACCGGAGCAGTCAAAAAAGAATCCATTTGTGTGCCATGAGCATTCTTCCAAAGACTCAACCAAGTGACCGTACTTGCCCAGCAGCAGATGGCAGGCCTCTATTTGGCCAAACCCATCTTGGAATAATAGTGAACAATGTCATCAGTATGATATGAGTGATAAAGTGAAAGTGTTTCAAACAAAAGAGAATGACAATTTTGGAGAAATGTAGCGAAATGACAAGAAATGAGGAAGAGTGAGAGGACTCCAGAGTTGGGACATATATATAACATGGGGAGTTGAACAACATTGGCGAAATTACCTCACATTCTTCTAAAATGCTCATTCATCACTATAAGCCACATTTCAACTCAAGATAACAGATTCAATTGTGTCGACTGTTTTGGTTAACCTGAGTTCAAACATTGGCTGTTGTCCGTATGGGAAGAACAGTATCAATGAGCTGAGATAACGACTCATTTCTTTTCTGATGGCAAAAAGGCTGTGTGGTAGGCAACTATGTTGCTTTCAGACCGTATGCACAAACATGAGATAATATGACACGTTCCTTAAAATTTACCTTTCTTGACAATAACCAAGTTGAGAACACTGAGGTTGGCGTCAACAATGCAACCGCGGACAGACTTGCGCTTGCGCTCGCCAGTCCTGCGAGGACGGTAGCAGGAGTGGCCTTTGCTGAGCAGCAGGCGCACACGGCCGTGAGTCAGAACACCTTGTTTCATGGGGAAGCCCTGCTTGTCATTGCCTCCGCTGATGCGCACCACGTAACCCTGAGAATAGAGAAAGGAGAAGTGAGTGTAATGAAGTGATGAGGTGCACGGCTTTTGATGCTTATAATTACTGTGTTCATAGTCATTTATTTGGCAGACAAGATATGTGAGAGAACTACAGTTGCAACCAGCCACTGTTTAGGCCTGGTCATATCCGGTGAGTTCTCCACGGTTCCTTTAGCATCACCCTGTCCCATCTTAACGACTACAGGTCAGTCAGAAAGATTCCACGAGTGTGCCACATTGACATCTGTAACACTTGCAAATTACATTATGGGAGACTAAAAATCACAATTGACCTTCCATTCATCTCCAAGGGGGTCAGCAGCCACCTCTGTGGCCATGCGCTTCTCATAGAAGGTTCGCAGCTTTCGTTCATCGTCCACTTCAATCAGCTTTTGGCAGCCAGTGGCGGGGAACGAGATGTTTAGCTGCAAAACAGAGCATGTGTGGCCATTAACGTCTAGCTCTACATGCCAATGATAATTTAGCGAGTGTCCACGTCAGATTAACAACTAAATGAGATTCCAAGTTAAGGTCCAGAATAAATACATTTGTTGCCACTTAGCTAACGTCGCGACGTTAAACATTCTATTCAGGAAACTCCGGCCACGCAGGCCCATTACTAGCGATGAAGCTAGTAAGTCATGAAGCTAAAGCTAGCCATGCCCCAAATTACTTTCTAGACATAAATTCTTGCGTTTACCAAGACTTCAGCAAGGACCCGAATGTAAAACATATGCATTATGCCAATACACACATTTAAGAATAGTCATTGTGCCCAAGTGACTTCGACTCCGTGTACATTTCGATATGTGAGACGCCATGTTTCAACACTCGATTATTTTAGTTCGCGCTACAATCAAAGCAAATCCTCAGTGAAGAGCGTTCTATTGCCACGGCTTTGGGGGCCGCTTCGTTTTTTTAAATAACCGCTTTACATATACGACAGTATTTCAGGAAAATTTGATTTCTACAAAAGTATAGACTTGGATAAACGTACCTTCATTTTGCCAAACCGGCCCAACGACGGTCCGCCACGAAAAAGAGACCGGATATCCGCTCCGGGATCTCACATAGCTGTGAAATGTTCTCGCGACATCTCACGTTTCACTAGTTTACGAATACAGTAAACATTTTGGTGCTAACCGAGGGCACAAAATGAAAAAGGTAAAAATCGTTTGCTATAAAAATGTGCGGTGCATGCACTCATTAGGAGTGTGTCTGAAACGCAGTAAATTAATTCGATTCAATAATTGACGTGTCAACCAGGCTTTGGGAACAACTCAACTGCCTGAGTAGAGCTTGTTTGTCCATAGAGTTGCGCAAAGCCAAGAAAGTTACTTTCACCTTTACCATCGTCCGTTTTGTTTTGATAGTTGAAACTCTGGTGGAGACAGTCATCAGCATGTGTGCGTGTATTATTCATCTGCAATGAAATTGCCTACTACAGTACGAACAAACGCAAATATCATGAATAATATTGACCTATTACTGTATTTATATTCATTTTTAGTAATATGTAACTGCATAGAATGGTAAACATCATACTAAAGATTATTGTTATCTGACGATCGGTTGATCTTCTCGTAACTAATAGTAGTTAGAAGATAATGGCGTTTTCCCCTTCCCGAAAATACAGTAAAACAAAACAAACAAAAAAAATGTGTTTGGGACTGAATTCTCTAACCAAAAATAAATACTCTTCGGCTGAAAACAGAGCGTCAGCGCGATGACGTTGAACGTGACGTTGAACAGAACAGTAATCTTTGTCAAGTCACAGTACAGGCGCAAGATATGAGGCAGTCTAGAAAATCTTAGCATCATTTGATGTCCTTGTGCTCGCCGTTTTGTATGAATTTCCTTGAGACCAAAGACGAGATCTTACAGATTCATCTCGCGTTTTTGTTTTTGCGTGGCGGGACGACAACAGCATTGTCTCTCCCTCGAGCGCAACTAGTCCAGACATGAGTAACGTTAATCTGATTTTCTGGGACCACTTGCAGGCTGGGAGTTCCGATGTGGATTGGTGTGAAGGCAATTACCTTATTTACCCGGGCATCGCTGAATTTTACAACACGGTCAGTGTGCACTTTTCGTTGTAACCGTGCGTTTCTTTTGGATGTTTTTATTTTTATTATTTTCCATATTAACGCAGCTCGGCTTGCCATGAGCAGCTGTCATGTTCCTAGTTTAGTTTTTCTTTGTATCGAACTGCTGCGGCTTTCGAGACTTGATGTTTACCGTTTGGGCTGCAGCATCAAGTTACACATGTCAGTGTGGAGACCTCGCACGTTGGAAAACATCTGCCTGCGTGTTTTTTTTTCACATGGGTTTCCTTTTGTTTGTCATTTCAGATCAGCAACATTTTGTTTTTTGTTTTGCCGCCCATATTAATGTGCTTGTTTCGCCAATATGCAACACATTTCAACAGTGGGATTTACCTCATTTGGACCCTCCTGGTCGTGGTGGGTAAGTTGGCTTCTGTGACGTGATCTTTACTGAGTGATGATGACCCATTTTCTGTGCCAACAGTCAACTCAGTCACTGCAGTAAAATAACCCTACTGTACTTCTGTAATATAGAAATTAAATATGAAGTTTACTTTCAGGCTTGAAGTCATTATAAAAGGTAATAGTGTAAGTATAATAGTTATTAGGTTCCTATGTTTTTTTTTAATAAATACGAAAAGCTTATTCCGAGTGAAAGGAAATTATTGTGCGTAAAGGTAAATAAGTCATACAAATATATACATGTGATTTGAAAGTAACATAATTTTACAACATTATTCATAGAGGTCAAGAAGCAAGGTAATCATATTGGAAATTAGATGTAAAACCAATAAAATATGGAGTTCTCCACATGGTGCATGAAAAACACATTGTTGCTGCTTAAAGGGGAAGTCAAGTCAAAAGTTTTCTTTACAATAATGCTCAATGCAGCCCCACTTGACTAAACACGATATTCTGATTGATATTGTGTTTGTGCCTAACGGCTCAGCTTCCAAATGTCACATCACCAAACCCTGAAAATATATGAGCGATGATTGATCATTGGCTGAGCCTTGAGGCACTGTGATTCATTTTCAGTCAACAGCAAGTGGCGAAGTGGCCACCCCCTGAGATGGCTAAAAACAGGTGGATTTTGCTGCTTAATTCAGATTCCACAAACACAGCATTAATCAGAATGTTCTGTTTAGACTAGTGGGGGTGCACAGAACATATTATTGGAAAAAAAAATGTTGCCTCTTTAAACGCGTGACACTGAGCAGCCTGGACAGAGATGTGTGCACATTGGTTGAGAAGTACTAGGAATAAGTTCTGAATATCCAGTTCTATAATCACCCTCATAGTCTCATTAGCTGTATCTTGAAGCTATCTTCAACATTTATATAATGACTAGGCTTATTTATTGGTTGAATGAAGCCAGCTCCGACTTCATTTGATTTGACTCAATGGTCTTCAGTCTTAAATGGTGCCTCTGTATTTAACAACGCTCTAGAGGAATTACGGCGCCTTGTTCCCTCAGTGTTGATTTTAACCGACAGTAACCCCCACTCCTTCCATTTCCCTCAGGGTATTTTCACTCAGGTCAGAAAGTGGTAGCGTGAACCAAAAAGATTTGTGTGTGCATTCTACAGCAGGTTTATGTTTCAAACAGATTGTGTCTGCCAAGAATATTCTATTATTTCCCTCGAGGGATTCATTCTCTATCTATCGATCTATCTATCTATCTATCTATCTATCTATCTATCTATCTATCTATCTATCTATCTATCTATCTATCTATCTATCTATCTATCTATCTAATACACACATGTATACACTGTATGCACGTGTGTGTGTGTGTGTGTGTGTGTGTGTGTGTGTGTGTGTGTCTGTATATATAAAATGTTATTATTATTACAGTATTATTAATTCCTCGAGGGGGCGGCCCGGTGGTCCAGTGGTTAGCGCATTGACTTCACAGTGCAGAGGTCGTGGGTTCGATCCTGGCTCCGGCCTTCCTGTCTGGAGTTTGCATGTTCTCCCCAGGCCTGCGTGGGTTCTCTCCGGGTACCCCCACCCTCCCATTCCAAAATAATGCATAGCAGGCTGATTGAACACGCTAAAATCGTCCCTAGGTGTGAGTGTGAGCGCGGATGGTTGTTCGTCTCTGTGTGCCCTGCGATTGACTTGCAACCGGTTCAGGGTGTGCCCTGCCCAGCACCCCCGCGACCCTTGTGAGCATAAAGCGGATCGGTAAATGGATGGATGGATGAATCCCTCGAGGAACCTTGCCCCATCTTTGCTTGTGAATAACCGAGCAATTCAGGGAAGCTCCTTTAATAGCCAGTCATGGCACCCACGTGTCCAGTTAGACTGTTCACCTGTGGGATGTTCCAATCAGGTGTTTGATGAGCATGAGTCTTTTTTGCCACCTGTCCCAGCTTTTTTGGAACATGTTGTAGCAATAAAATTCAAAGTTAATGATTATTTGCTAAAAAAAAAAAACGTTTAGCAGTTTGAACATTAAATATCTTGTCTTTGTAGTGTATACAACGAAATATAAGTTGAACATGATTTGCAAATCATTGTATTGTGTTTTTATTTATATTTTACTCAACGTCCCAACTTCAGTGAAATTGGGTTTGTATATTAAATACAACCTTTTTTGTAATGGTCCTCACACATCAGATGGTCGGTATCTCCAATCTATCTCGAGAAGAGACAATAGGGACTGTTTGGACAGGGGCAGTTCTTCCAATACACATCACATCCAAATTCAATCTTAGCGGCACCTTTTGACGTTTCCAATGAGTACCTCTCTTTTTACATTTCCCACAATAGGTATTGGATCAACATACTTCCATGCTACCCTGAGCTTCCTTGGCCAGATGCTGGATGAGTTGGCCATCTTATGGGTACTCATGTGTGCCATCGCCATGTGGTTCCCCAAAAGATACTTGCCCAGGATGTTCAGAAGAGATCGGTATGACAATCATTATGGTTGATGATGCATTCATGACTTCTTGAGTCTTTAATGGGATATTTAGTTCTGTTGTTACTCCCGAAGTTATGAAATGAGTGATCTGGTTTTTGTGAAACTTTTTTTTAAAATTTAGATTGAATTCCAGATCTTAAATACGTATTGAGCAGCAACAGTTTATGGCGTATGCGCACTATTCTGTCACAAGACATGTCCACTGCTGTCACACCTTCAGTTTAATTATAGGCCGGTCTAAGATAGCTGACACCAGTAAAAGCTGCATCACATGTCCTCACTTCTCTTTCCATTGTCACACAGCCATTGTGGTTGCTCTTATTTGCCATGAAGCTCCATTTTATTGAATGTCAGTTCGCTGTAGAAAGATTTTGAGCCACCTGACATCCTACGCTTAACTGTATACTTCTCAAGTGTGATAAAAGCTTATTTATCTAAATTTGATTTGCTCTTTGCCCTAGGTCGAGGTTCAAAGTGGTCATCGGTATCCTGTCAGGGATCACGACAGGGTTGGCCTTTGTTAAACCGGTTGTAAACTCCTTGTCGCTTATGACTCTGGGCATTCCATGCACCGTGCTGCTCATCACCGAGCTTAAAAGGTCAGTTGTCCACCGGTCTTTGAGATACTCGTGCGAAATGCAGATTTGAGTCATGAATTGCTATCAGAGAACAATGCTCTTATCGTGCCCTCAAAGCTATTTGGCACTGGTGTAGTGATACAGATTCACCCTGTATTGATTTTATATGTCATCGCATCACAAGAATAGCTCAACTCAACTTACTGACCTGAATCTCCTCTCGAATAAAACTTGTCTCCTTCTCGTGTGCAACAGCCACACGCTGAGAAGTTCAATACAGCAGACCTTTTGCCCTTCTCCATTGTTGTTGTTTGTTAGCGTCACGTTCTGACTGATTTGCTCGTGTTTTTTGCTGTATTATTTTGATGTTGAAAACCAAGCAGCAAACAAAGCTGCATCAAACTGAGCTGAGGAAAGCCAGTACTCTGGTATCATTAAAAAAAATTAAAAATAAATAAAAAATGCATTACTGCCCTAGTGGTCCCTTGCGTCGTAATAAACAAGAACAATGTCATAAATATGATTGGCACAACTCAAGCACTGCTTGCCATCCTGTTTATAGTGCAGTGTATACCGAAGGTGAACCAAAGGTCAAGGAAGTGTTTCAGACTAAAATGAATTGCTCGGTTGCAAGCTAGAGTTTTACATAATCATATTTCCTCATTAAAAAGCCAATGAAATTTCCTTTGGGATCTCTCCATTGAAGCAATAATGAGTGGATGCAACACTTCTGCAAATGCTTTGAAGATGATGTGAATTGTGAACCTGCCAAAACAAGAAGACAACAAAAAGAAATACCCAACATAGGTGGAGAAAAAAATACATCATTTGGAACACTTTTACTTTGCAGTGCAAGCTGTTGAAAATTGATTTATTATTATTGTGAGTCCCCGACTGATTCGTATTGAAGTTTTGCTGGCAGTTGGCACTTTCTCAGGGCCACTTAGAAGAACACCCTGCCTCCCTCGGGAAGCCTGAACCGAAATCATGCAGGGCTGTTCCTTGTGCAGCCTCTTACTTCACATCTACTGTGGAAAAGTCTTAATGAAAGGAATATTTTTCTGAGAAGTTGCCAGGGTGCCTTTAGCCCATTGACCCCCCTCACTGCTGTCAGTCTGTGATTGACTGGTGATCTGTGCAGGGTGTACCCCTCGCCCTGTGGGACAGTTTAATATGTGTTTTCTTTTGTCTGTATACACACCATCAACATCATTTGGGTTTTGAAAACACAAACCTATGAAGTGGAAGATTTGGAAAACAAATGTGAACACTGAAACTCGTTCTCTGTGAAAGCAATATATTGTGCTGGGGGAATCCTCATGCCTTCAAAATGACTTCTTTTCAGGAAATCAATAAAACACACACACACACACACACACACACACACACACACACACACACACACACACACAAACACACGCTAACTGGCTTGAGTCCCCAAACACTGCTCCATTCAAGTTGGTGTGTGCGTGTGTGTGTGTGTGTGTGTGTGCGTGTGTGTGTGTGTGTACTGTATGTTTGTGTATTGTCAAGGGGCAAATGTCAGCATGCAGTCAGCAGTACATGACCTCCTACCTTTTGACCTTCTGTACTGGGACTGCAATTTGGAGTTGTTTCCTTTCACTGTCGGCCTCACTTATCATGGCTACTCTTACGAAATCAAGTCTTCTATTGTTCAACCTGATAATTCTTGACATTATTGTCGGTGCCAGTCATCTACGGAGGTGGCTTGTTTTTGTTGGGGGAGAATTCCTGTTGCCCTATTCCATCTGACTTTGGCCTTTGCTAAGTCCGTAATATGTTGTTGTTTGCTTACCTCTTTCAGTACGACCAATTTCCCCTCACTTGCGTCACATCCACAGGGACACCAAAAAAAAAAAAAAACATTATGTCAACAACATTCCATTCCACTGTGACATGACTAATTGTGAGGGCAATAAACTCAATATTTTATGTAAAGAACATTCCATTCCACTGCGAAATGACTAATTGTGACCACAATAACTTCAGTCATAGGATAATTCTATGAAAAATTAAAATCACATTTAAAAGAACAAAAATTGCTTTGACAAAGATGTAGAGCTTTGTGTCTTAGAATAAGATACCGTTAAAGGGAAAGGCAACTCCAAAAAATTCTTACAATAATATGTTCCATGCACCCCCACTCGTCTAAACATGGAATTCCGATTAATATTGCATTTGTGCAATATGATTTCTAAAGAAAAATCCACCTGTTTTTGTGCATCTCAGAGAGCGGCCGTGTTCCCTCACAGTGCCACTTGCCGTCGACAAAAAATGACATCATAGTGCTGAAGGGCTCGGGTAACGTCCGCCACGGCTTAGCCTGCAAATCCGGACTCTACTAGCAATTGAGTCTGGTGGGTAGTCACATCAAGCACACTTCTGAGCCGGGTCAAACCTGAGAAAACGAACAGTTCGGAGGAACCAATCAGAAAAGATCCGAGGTGACGTCATAAATGCGATTTGTGGAAGTCGTGGGAAGCCACGTTGAAGGGCTTGGTCACTAGACCCACTTTCTTAGTGGGCGTGGCTTGCCAGGTTACTCACGGCTCACTTGTTTTCTGGGTTTGATGAGCCCTTAGGCACTGTTATGTAATATTCATATTCATTCTATGGTTATTTTCATCTACTATCACAGCCTAGGTACCTTTTTGTGGTGGCATTACACACACATAAATGTTAAATCAAGCAGTCAGATGCTCACTGAGCGAAAGTTTGTGACGGTTTTGAGTACTATATGTTGTCAGTGGAGCATTCATGAAATCTCCCTGTCACTTCCCATTTTTTTCCCCTCTGGCTTTTCATTGAAACTCCACCCAAGATAGACATGTGAGCCCTTTCACCACTTATCATTGCGTCCAACTGTCTCACGTTCTTGACTTTCACAAGCAGCCCCCCTCCTCAAAACAAGTCCTGGTGCCATTTCTTATCTTGCATGCTTCTGTCATAGCTGATAGTCACTGTATTACAGACACACGACTAAGAACTAATGCATCTGGCACATTGGCTCTCTTGGAAGGAAGTGCTTGTGGCGGTTGACATGTCCTAAAAGCCAAGATAGTCAGCAGCATCTCGTTTGGCAGAAGTTGTCCTTGTGACATAATAGAAGACATTTCCCTTTGGGAGGAAGTATCACAAGCCAGCTATTCTTCAGTATTTCCTCTTGCCCCGGAGTAGCCTCTGCAATCTTCCAAAACTCTTAAAATAATAGATTGTTATATAGATAATTATGAGAAAGACATACCGTATCTGACACTTTATGTTCTCCTTGTCAAAAAGTTTTGTCAGTTTTTTAAAAATATTTTTCATGTTGCAATGGGTGTAATTCCCTGAATTTGAAACCACATTTAAAATCAAGATTCATTGTCATTTTTCGACATAGAGTAAAAGGAGTTTGGTGCAGCTTAAGGTCCCTGTATGTATAAAAACTCAAGGCAGTCACAAAATACACAGTAAAAAGTTCAAAATCCATGACAGTCACTGGATAAAACTTAATATGGAGGTGGTTGTTTAAAAAATAGCCTGTCCAAAGAACGTAAACATTTAGGATGAAAGAAAAAGAAGAGTATGTATGAGAGCAGAGAAATTGTGCATTTTTCCCCCCCACAATTTTAAACGGGAGTATTAATAAAATGTCTGTGATAGTGCAAGCTTTTGCCAAAAGATCTTACAGATTCAAGAATTATTAACTCTTTTTATCACCTGTTTTTTGTGACACTGAAATTAATCTCTATTAAGGTGTGGTCCTATCTTGTGCAAGTGAGCCACCCAATTAAATATTTAGTCCTGGCCAGTGGCAATTACGAATTTGTTAACAAGTCAACTAAGGGCACAGCTGGTGGTGGTTGCACGTTTGAGCCCCGAGTGTTTAAAAAAAAGTGTGTGTGTGTGTGTGTGTGTGGGGGGGGGGGCAAATTATGAAGCAAATTCGGTACTCCGCCAAGATAGTTTGGATTGTATTTTCTCTTCATCAAGCCAGTGAATTACACATGTCAGTTCGTGTGCAGATCTGAGTTTATGGCACATACCGGATCTGATGCTTATCAGATGCTCACACTGTCATCTTAAGCTAATTTGTTTACTCTTATCATTTCTGCGCCATCACAGTTGAACTGCTGATTGAAGGCTTAACATCTGCTGCTTTTACTTCATTTTAAAGAGAAACTTTGATGCACCTTTTTTTTTTTCCTGTTACACTAATGTTAATTTCTCCTTGGAGTAACGGCAATCGGAATGAAAAGCTTGTCTGTGAGCATGAGCGTGTGACAGTGACTGCACTGTTCAGCCAGCAGTGCGCTTATGTGTGTGCGCGTGCGTACTTAAGGACACAACTAAGAATAGTTTTGTATCAGCAGCATCGTGGAGTCATCCGTCTCAGGGTCACCGACTGGAAAGAAAAATAAATATGAATAAATAAATATATCATAAAATTATTTAAATGATATGACAACAAATGTGAATAGTACTGTGACTATTGTATTTATATTGCACTTAATTGAACTTATTGACCTAATCCATATTTATATTTATATTGCACTTAATTGAACTGTGTTTTCTTTTCTCTTCTTTCTACCCACAATCTTGCTGCTGAAGGCTGTAAATTTCCCCAGTGTGGGACAAATAAAGGATATCTTATCTTATCTTATCTTAAACAAAGAACTATAGATCAAAGGATCTGGCTTGCTGCTCTTCTAAATATGGAGGATAAAAAATGCTATCTGAGAAGAGAGCCGTTAACTAGCAGTTTTGCTCTCGACTTATGGAGTCGTGTAACACAGGCCTGAGAACCATCCGGGAGATTTGTCAAGCGGGAACACAAAGCTTAGTTTTGTCTGAAACACACCACCCACGTCTGACTGTCTTGAACGAATCCTTCTGATTTGCATTGAAAAAGAGGCACTATTTGCAAAGTGCAAATGACTGCTTATGTCGAAATCAAGGCACTTATTTGGGGCAATAACCTAGCAGGCCATATGAACCCCACAGAAAATGTTTTGGAAAAGTGCAGGCACACACACAGGGGATTGCATTCATGTTCTGTCCATTAGGGAGGGGCCAATTAGTGAGCGTACAGGTCGTTGTAATGCCATTTTCTAGTATAGTGAAATTATTCTTTCAACAAAAGCCCTCAGTGACATTCTTTGCTCTTCTTTTTGTTGGAATGCTATCCTGTTCTGAGAAAACTGCTGCATGTGGTACAGTGGTAGTCTCCATTCTTATTCATTTAGGGCCCATCATTGTATCCCTATACAATATACATACCCACACCTGTCACCTATATCAGTTTTGAATGTTTAGTGCACAGCAACAATTTAGCTCTATTGCTAATTAGCATAATAAAGCAATCGTGTCTTTAGCACAGATTTCCAGACGATAACGCACATTGATTAATAAATCACATTTTTGTTAAATATGATGTTTGTATATAATTACTATTTTGCCTTGTTACATATAGCAATATTATTTTATTTTATTTTTTAAACATTTTGTCACTTTGTTTGTAGCCATAACAGATTTGGAGGAGTCGAAAGTGAAATAGATATTTAGGAATTATGCTATCAGAGATGCGTGTGCTGAAAGATTAGGATGGGACTAGGGGTGTGCATCTCTCCAATAAAAGTCGATTCAATACACATATCAATACGATACGAATCAAGACGGGTACATTTTCAAGTGGAACTACTCGATTCATTGGGATTAGGATTTGATTCAATGTGAAACTGCTGTAGCTCATGTTTTTTCATATTTAACAACACGTAAAAGCTCTTCCAAGCCCGAACTACTCAATTGAATTAAAGTTTAAAAACAACAAAACAAAACATAAGCACCGTCAAACCGATTTATACTTGGTGTGCATCTCTCATAAAATATGATTTGATACACGGGATGGAATACAATCCAAGGATGGTACATTTTAAAATACAATGAGTCGATTCAGTCAGATCCAAACCAATTTTCTGATTCAAATTTTTGTTATACTCATGTAAGCGGAACTTTGTGACAGCCGTTTTTGTTGTAGAGTACGAGTCGTAGCTGTGCTGCTCAACACTATTTATGTGTCACAGGTGTGAAAACCCACGTGTGTTCAAGCTGGGTCTGATCTCAGGGATCTGGTGGGCTCTAGCTCTGCTCTGCTGGCTCAGCGACAGGATTTTCTGTGAAATGTGGTCATCTGTCAACTTTCCCTATTTACACTGTGCTTGGTAAGCTCACATCACAGCACACAAGAAACTTAAACAAGTAGCACTCTATGCATTTGGGTGCTTCGAAATGCAAGATCTATTCTGCAATCAGACATTTAATCCTAACATTTTTTTCTTTGCACACAATAAAAGCAATTTTATATACAACAGGTCCATATTGTTTGTGCTTATTACTAAAGATGGACATAAATTAACTGAAACACTGTCTTGATTGTGTAGAATAGATTTTGGACTAATTGTGTCTGTAAAAAAGCAGCACAGTGCCATAGTGGTCTTGTGTGCATCATGGTTCTGACATTAAAAAAGGTGCAGTTTTGATTGACTGTTACATACATCTGCATCGTTGCAATGTGAGGCACTAGTGATTAAAATTTAGATTTGCAGCAAAACCGGTGGCCCACTTATGAAAACTAGTTGCCACACACCTTGCACTATCTTACAGTTGAGTCGGTGTCATCTACGTCGCTCTCTGTGCAATTGGTTTGTCTACATGTGCCCTGCGATTAGCTGGTGACCGGTACAGGGTATACCTATGTCTCGTTCAATGTTGTCGCAAAGCAAAACAGTTCTGGGTTTGCATGCTCTACTTGTGCACTACAGAAGATAGAGTGTCAAACAGTCATTTGAGAGTTGTAGCTTATGGTACTTTACTTTATTACACAACACTTTGTGCCCTTTTTTTTTACCTTGAATTCAACAAATACCTCAGATTTTAAAAAAAGGATAATAAGAAACTAAAATATCAAAGTTAATTTTAAAAAAGAAGCCTTTTAATAAGAAAAAAATGATCAAAACAAACAAAACTTGTTCCAAAAATTAAAACGTTACATTCAAAAAGCAAAAGTCAAAATGAGGGGAAAAAAAACTGCTACTGGAAAAATCCCAAACTATTATAATCCTTCAATCATTGCTTGTCTCCGTTCTCAGCTCTGTGATAAACATTTTGAGGTATACACCACTACTTGCCCAAAGCTACCTCCCTGTAACCCTAAACAGGATAAGATACTGAGATTTTTATTCCCTTCAATTTACAAGCGAGTCTGTTCTTGTACTTCTCTCTGGTTCATTCACAACTGTCATTCTTGCAGGCACATCCTCATTTGTCTGGCTTCCTACTTGGGATGTGTCTGCTTCGCCTACTTTGATGTTGCGAGCGAGGCCCCAGAGCGAGGTCCAGTCATTATGTTCTGGCCCAACGAGAAATGGGCCTTCATTGGCGTCCCCTACGTTTCATTCCTGTTTGTGCACAAGAAATCAGCTATCAAGGTGACTTAAGGTGATCCATGATTGCTCAGCGGGTTGCACTTTGGCATTTCTCACCGGGCCGTGTCCCAACAAGATTCATCATCAGACCGGTGGCCTCCATGAAGCTTTTTGGATTGGATCACAGAGGTGGTCGTTATTACCAGCAGTACTTCTGCAGCACTGTCAAAAGAACAAAATGTGCCACAAGCAATGTGACTTGGGGACATTCCCGGTGGCTTATTATGATGTCAGTGTTTTAAATGTGCCACGAAGCTTGACCAGAGGAGCATGTGATATGTTATTGAAGTATTATGCATTTTCTGCTTTATTAAATGTTTTGCACATGGTATGTATGATAAGTCAGAAACCCTCAATGTAAAGTATTAGATTGCCTTGACAACCTCCTGCATCTAATAGGTGCCCCGCTGGCTGTTATGAAACCAGCATTTCAGACAATAATGTACTGGATACAACAACTGTGATAATTGCATCATACAAAACCAGCTGCTCAGAGTTCGGTGCAACTCTTCCAATGATGTCTTTAATACCAGCATGATAATGTGCTTGACTGGAAACATACTCCTCTTCTAAAATAAACAATGATGTCTTTGTATATTAACGAATGAAGAGCCATACAACCAAAAAGTCAAAAAGTGAAGGTTGACATCAAAATGGTTCACATTTAGTAATGGACAAACAGCAAATCACTCTCACAACATTTCAGGTCAAGTATAGCTATTTCATTTCAATTAAGCAGTAAGTGTCTTTCAAATGGTCTGTTGCTGTTTCACATTGTATTTGATGGAAGTGTTTTGTATTTAACATGTCCTATTCTTTGACGTTTGTTTATTCTGTTCAGACACAAAATGTTATACTATAAGCTTCGAAAATGTTTGAGAATTATGCGCAAAGCCTAAATCAAACTGGATAATGTGTTGCAGAAGAAAATGAAAGTGCAAAGCACTCCTGTAAACATGGTACAGTATATACTGTGTGCTATGTAGGCTGTGGGTATTTGTTTCCACTTAAGGGAAGCAGAGTTGGCAAATTTCTCTCAGGCACCAACTGATTTAGTTATTAAATTACAGTTCATAAAATGATTGGGCAGGTTTTTTACGTCCAACTTGAATGTTTTTTTTTTTTAACCAAAAATAAGATGTAAGAAATTTGAAAAGGGAAACATAGGTGCTAAAAAGGTTTTAAATAAGAAAAAAGCACCTCAAATGATTGTATTTCATGTAAGAAAATGGCCTCAACATTGCTGACATGTACACATGAAGGGTCATTTGAATTGCCACAGAAACTGTCATCTTGATAATACACAGTGATGTTTCAACTCCAAAATATGACATATGAATGGTTTTGTTATTGTATAAGTACATTTGTATTGCCAAATACAACTATATTTTTGCCGTATCCTCCAGATATACACTACTGCCAATGTGAGCAATGTCTCATCGTGGATCTGAAGAATACATGATTATATAGTTTTGAATGAATTGCAGTGCACATTGTGAAGAAGATAATTTAAGTAATATTGGAGAGCTTTTTTTCTCATTATCGCGACACAGTAAGTTGTGTAATTTGACATGAACTTTTGTGTATGTTGTTTTTTTTCTCTTCTTCAGACCGCAGCACAGATTTATTTATTTTCATAATTTATCCTGTTTTGTAAACAAACATTTGTAATAGATTATAATATTGGTACTTTATTTTATCCAATAAATGGAGTCAATGACCGCCACAGCCTCTGCTTGGAACGTCATTCGTTATTGAATGACACTTTTGTCCACTATGAGGCAGTGTTTTCCCAATTAATATTTCTCTCAAATCACCAAACCCAGCCAGGGGACTTTTCGAGTGCAGATTTCCCATCTCGATACAGTTACAGTATAGTATAAATGTAGTCTAATTCAATTTATTTTAAGAAAATAGGTTACTCTTTGGACCCACTAGAATACAATAAAATAACAAATGTGAAAGTGGTTCGCCGATTGCGACTCACCATTTTGTTTAATTTTTTGAACTCATTTTGATTTACAAAGGTAATTATTTCCTGTGGCTCAATGTGAATGTTTTAACTCTTATTTCTCCTTGAGTCACGTACTTGATTATCCACTAAGAAAAATTAACCGAGGAAACTCAGTTTAGGAAGTCCCGCCTCCAGTGAACATTGCGATGCCTCATTTGTTTCCACACGCGTCAATCAAACTGCCATGTCCAGATAGTGGGTCAAATAGAAAACCAGTAAAATTTAATCTGCTTGAATCCTGTGGATTTTCCTGGCCGCCAACCATCAGGGACTCACGTTTTTGTGAGAAGTGAGAAGTGTCAAGAGTCGGAGGTGTGAACGCTCCTCTTCGCGCGTTCTGTCAGCGGCTAACGGGATGATGTGTCGAATTAGACGCTGGAACAGCTGTGCTAGTCGACGTTAAAACAAAATAAACGGGTGTTTCCTCAAGCGACTGTTTTTGCCGGAGGACCATCGATGTGATTTCTAGGGAGCAAGGGCGGTGGAAACAAAGCATCCAAAATGATGTCAGGGAAGCATTTCAAGGCTCACGAAGTCAGCTGCTGTATTAAGTATTTCATTTTCGGATTCAACATCATATTCTGGGTAAGTGCTCCGCTTGCTGCAATGTGTCTTCAGGCCTAGAACAACATTCTTACTTGACATGTGCAGTCTGCCATCCGTGGAATCTTTCATGATCTGAGAGTCGCGATGAGCCGCCTCGGCGAGTTCATCGTTGTAACAAAGCTTGCTGCTTGGGTGCACTTGCTGCCTCCATCAGGCATCGGATGCCTTTTGTTTTAATGCGCCGTTGCGAGACGGCCAACGATCCTGTTTACATCCATCCATTAACACTACGTGCTAAGGGTAGTTTCATTTTTCTGCGAGGGTCACTTGTTATCGTAGCTGCCAGGCTCCATCACATTAATGAGCCCTTGTTTCATCAAAAAGTACAGTTTGTAAGATACCCGATTTGTTCGAATTGCACTGTCCAAAACCAGCCTCTCAAGTTTTGGTGTCAAAAACGACAATGGATAATAAAAATTCAACCAACGTTTTTTTAAACATGTAGCCGACTCTTAAATCGCAAAAAATCCAGAGAACCTGAAATAAATTTCGGTTATTCTTTGTCTTTATTATTATTATTATTATTATTATTATTATTATTATGACGGTCGTATGTATCGCGCTTTGCTTCTCACAGCTTCACTGCACCGCAGATTTTTGTTCTTTACATATATCGAGGATTATTCATTATATCGTGGGATTATCGGTTGCAATTTGCTTTTCCATGGTGCCGCTTCTCCTCGTCATCTCTCCCTTTCCTAAGGATTTATATAATTTTCTACAGCCTTCCAGGTTATCTCGCTTGGAAAGGGAAATAAAAACCAGAAACCCAAGAGACCCTTTTTGACGAAGGTGGTGTGAAGAACATAAATTAGATGGCTGGAGGTTTGAACACAACCCTTTTTCATGTCACCAGACTCATCTTCCTTGTCATAGGTCTATTACGAAATTTAACCATACTGTTGGGCATTTAGTACACACGTGCCTAACTCTGCAACAAAGTGACAATGGTAGGAAGTGAACAGAATGGTGTATGTTTTTTTTAATGTCAGGTGACTTGCATCCTAGACCCCTTAATATGGCCTTTTGTATTTTTTCGGAATACATATTTTATATGCACTACAGTGCAGTGATTCAGAAGAGAAATATGTCATTTTCCATTTCCAAAACTTGATCTCGTCCCGTTTACTTCCTGTTTTGCATATGATGGCAGCCTGTTTAAGCAACATACTGTAGCAGTTTGTTGCAATTTAAATGTCCTCGCTATTAATTGTTGCGAAGGAGGCAAGACCAGTAGGCCACCATTTGCATCACATTTTAGTGACAAGAACACATTAGCCCTTTGACATGAAGCTTAGATGGATCAAATTCCATAAAGTCGTTATAATGAGATAGTGTAGCTACAGTATGATCATATTGATGATTTTGGCTAAAAAACTACACAGAAAAATAAAAGTGAATCACTTTCATACATTATTTCATGGCGATATACTACGTCTGACAATTTGACAACAAACTGTCGATGATGTCTTGTAAAGATGTTTAACTGGTGTTGGTCACTATATTAAATAAATGTCACCTCATCAAATAACACAGAAGAACAACATTATAAAATGTTCTGTCAAAAACAACAGAGAAAAATGTGTCCATTATAATATACTGTTTAACATACATTTCATAATATTCTGATAGTTGGAAGTTTTGGAATTTACCACCAGAATGTATTTTCGTTTCTGTTGGCCACAATTTGCATCTCCCGGAAAGTGTTCTTTGGTTTTTAAGCTGTTAAGTGGTAGTTTGAACTGGTGCTTCCCTTTAGTCAGTCAATCATGATTCATTCGGGCTGTTTAAAATGTTTTCCAATGTGGGAGTCACATGCTGATGCTGCAAACTGAAATTAGATTTTTTTTTTTTTTTAAGTGCAGAGTGAGTGCCAGGACAGCAGTTTGTTCCCTAGTATCCATCATAGAAGAAGAATAATCTTTTTCTTATCTCTTGTCCCATCCAGTTCCTTGGCGTGGCATTCCTTGGCATCGGATTGTGGGCATGGAGTGAGAAGGTTGGTTTCTATGGATTAACAGTTTCTTGTTATTCACATTGAGCGATTCAGTCGCATTTCTCGGTTTTGGTTTACGGCCACCTAAAGACCAACCTTATTGCACAACAAAAAAAGTGTCTGAACTATGAGATCTTTCAGTTAGTGTTGGAATTTAAAAATTCAGCAGGGGAAAAAATGTCCAGATGCTTTATTGGGCCAATTTTGGGCTGGGGATTTTTTTGGGGGGCCATTTTTTAAAAACACATTACATAGGACAAAGATAATTCTGTTCAAACACTCCATAAAAATGCCCCAAAAAAGATTCAAGATTCTTGCCGATTGTTCTCTTTTTGGTAAAGATAAACATATACTAAAGGACAAAGTATTGTAGAACAGTAAAATATTCTTCCAGTAATTAATATCTTTATTACTGTAAGCATGAAGGGGCCAAAAGAAGAAGTTCTATGCATCCATTGATTATCCCAACCACTCATCCTCACGTGGGTCGCAGGCGTGCTGGAGCCCATCAGAGCTGTCTGATAAAAAAGAAACCTTCAGCCTATTTCAACTAATAAGAAAAGATGAACGTCATCGCGCTATCATCGCCATGATTTTCTCAAATTTAAAAACTTCAGCCACACCGTCCATGCCTCTAGCAGAAGAATCTCAGAGTGAAACCAAAGCCTGTAGGAGTCGTTCGTCTTCTACGTCACCAATACAAGCCTCTTCGCCTCTTTCAGGATGCAATGTTGATTAGTGTTAATTACTGTATAAGGTTTTACAATTAAAGATTCGAGTAAATACGTGTACCGTTGTAATCTTTGTCTCAAATATGTAAAGTATAAATACCGTATTTTAAACATTTTGATACCGATGTACGCACAGATGAAAATTCATTCGTAGGGGGCTGGGCAAATCCCTGCGATTGGCTGCCAACCAGTTCAGGGTGTCCCCTGCCCACTGCGCAAAGACAGCTGGGATAGGCCCCAGCACGCCCCGCGACACTTGTGAGGATAAGTGGATCAGAAAATTCTACCTCACGGTTTTCACTTTTCGTGGGTGGGTTTCTGGTCCCCATTAATCATGAAAAACGAAGACTTACTGTATGCATTTTTTGTAAATTGGTTATCAGAATGTTTTTCTGTCAAAAATCAGACTCCTCATCAACTAGTTACCAATTGTATTCCAATATTATGTCTTCAAAAAACGGTACTCATATCTCGATCAAATCCGATTAGACCAGAATTTGTTGTGTCTGTATTATGTGACCTTGAATATAGACTCAGTTCTCGATCTGAATGATACTTGACCCCCCTTTTAGCAACTAGGATCCCAGGTCAGAAGCAGTCAAACAGCCGAGCCTGAGTCACCTTCTGCTTGTCGTAACTTTTGATTACTGGTAGTGTGTTGACAACAAGCTCAGACGGTAAAGGAATTAACGCTCATTTTGCTTCTCTCTCTCTCTCTCTCTCTCTCTCTCTCTCTCTCTCTCTCTCTCTCTCTCTCTCTCTCTCTCTCTCTCTCCTTGTTTAATTTTGGTTCTAATATCTCCTGACACATTTTTTTTTTACTCCCAAACCAGGGTGTTCTTTCCAACATCTCATCTATCACAGACCTGGGGGGCTTCGATCCAGTGTGGCTGTTCCTCGTGGTTGGTGGAGTAATGTTCATTCTGGGATTTGCGGGTTGCATCGGAGCACTGCGAGAAAACTCTTTCCTGCTCAAATTTGTAGGTGTCTTCATGCAACAAATTGTGGACAAGTATTAAAGTGTAGCTTGTTGTTTAACACTGTTGGCTGATTGTGATGATGTGTGTTCAGTTCTCGGTGTTCCTGGGTATTATCTTCTTCCTGGAGCTGACGGCAGGAGTTCTGGCCTTTGTCTTCAAAGACTGGATCAAGGACCAGCTCAACTTTTTCATCAACAATAACATTCGGGCCTACCGGGATGACATTGATCTGCAGAACCTAATCGACTTCACCCAAGAATATGTGAGCTTCAGTGCTTCTTTTTAATCCAAGAAGATTTTGTATTGGGTTTATCTGGACTGCAGGATTTATTGAAAATAACTCTGAAAGTTACGTTGCCCATTTGACCTTGTTACAGTGGGAGTGTTGCGGTGC